GCCCCGCGCGCGAAGTTCAAAGCCGGGCGCCGCCCGCGAGCCCCGGGGCCTCCGTCGCGCGTGTCCGGGCCGCCGGGATTTCCGGGAGGCCCCCCCGCTTCCGGGCGGCCTCTCACGTCTCCTCTCCCAGGCGCGGAGCAGCATGTCCGGGAAGCGCGCGGCGAGGAGGAGCCCGCTGCCCGAGGACGGCTCTCCGGAGAAGAAGCGTGTTAAGGGTAGGTGTGTGGGGCAGGCGGGCAGCCCCCGCTTCCCAGGGCTGCCGCAGGCCCGTCTCGCGGTGCTGGCTCGGGCCCCTGCCGCCTGCGCTCGGGCTTATCCGGCCTTCCCCTTCCTTTGCGGCGGCGCAGTCTGCCACCCGTCGCACCGGGCAGAGCCCGGGCTGGTGCTGACGCTGGGGCAGGGCGACGTCGGGCAGCTGGGCCTCGGGGAGGACGTGATGGAGAGGAAGCGGCCGGCCCTGGTGCAGCTGCCGGAGAAGATCGTGCAGGCAGAAGCGGGCGGCATGCACACGGTCTGCCTCAGCGTGACGGGCAAGGTTAGGCCCCGGCGCCGTCGCGGGTAGGGGGGCTCCTTTGGGCACCGTCGCTTGGAGCTGCCATGTGTCAGACGGGCTTCTTCCAGCTGAGCAGGGGAGGGCGCCGCTGGCTGGGAGCCCTGCCCGGTGCCAGTGGCTGGAAGCTGCTGCCGCGCTGAGGGCTCGTACCAGCCCCCTCCACCGAGCCACCCTGGGGTGTAGCGGGGTGGGCGCGGGCACGCAGACCCAGGGTAAGTGAGCCCACGGGTGCGCGTGTGTCTCCATGCCCGTGGTCGTCCACGGCGGGCTGGCTGGTAGACCTCTGGGTTGGAGCCAGGCGTCTCCTTGTGGCATCGGGCACCTTTCCCACCGCGCCACGTCTCCGCATGCAGGTGTACACCTTCGGCTGCAATGACGAGGGGGCCTTGGGCCGCGACACCTCCGAGGAGGGCTCGGAGACCAGGCCGGGCCTGGTGGAGCTGGAGGAGAAGATCGTGCAGGTCTCTGCTGGCGACAGCCACACAGCAGCGCTGACGGATGACGGCCGCGTCTTCCTCTGGGGCTCCTTCCGGGTAAGCCGGCCACCCGGGCACTGAGAGCCTGCCGGGTCTTCCCGAGTTGGGAGCTGACCCTCCTCGTGTCTTGTCCCCGGTCGCAGGACAACAATGGCGTCATCGGCCTGCTGGAGCCCATGAAGAAGAGCGTGGTGCCCGTGGAGCTGCAGCTGCGGTCGTCTGTCATCAAGATCGTCTCAGGTGAGCCCGATGCCTGTGCCTCAGGGACGAGCTGCTCCCGCCAGGCCTGGAGTCCACCTTGCTGCTCTTTGCCACCGGCCGTGCTGAGCTTCCAGCATCCCTCCTCGGCTGCTGCGGCTGTCTTGCCGAGCCCAGGCGTGCAGCGCCTCTGTCCCTGGGAAGCAGGGGGCCAAGGAGCCGTGCCCGGACCAGGACAGGGGCACTGGTGGCTGCTGTCAGGCCCTGCCAGCACAACTGTGTCAAGTCAGGATGTGAAAATTGGGCGTCTCTCTGCCTGCAGCTTCAGCAGCTGCAGGGCTTGGATCAGCTGGGTGTCTGTGGCATGCAAGGGTGAAATGCCACTGGGTATTAGGATCACACGCTCAGTGCAGATATCTGCCCTGGCTCTTCTGGGCTAGCTCAAAGAGGAAAACTTCTGGCTTCTCGCTGCATAGTGAGGCTTTGCTGCGGCTTTTGGAGCTGGGCATGGTCGCTGGCAGTCTCCCCGCATGGTGGTTCTCCAGGGGGACCAGCAGAGACCCGTGCGTTTAGCAGGAGGATGGGAGACTGTAGCAGGAAGGGCTGTTGTTTACCCCCCCTTCCCTCTTCCCTCCCAGGAAATGACCACCTGGTCACGCTGACCACCGACGGGAGCCTCTACACGTGCGGCTGTGGAGAGCAGGGCCAGCTGGGCCGCGTGCCGGAGCTGTTCTCCAACCGGGGAGGACGGAAAGGGCTGCGTGAGTTGTGCTGCACTGTCTTGGGCATTAAAGACTGGCTCTAATCTTCCCGGGCAGGGGCTGCCTGCCTGGCCAGTCCTCGGCCCTTCTGTTCATCCTTGGTAGCTAACAGCAATGTGGAGCTTGGCGAAGTTGGTGCTACAGCCCCGAGGGACCTTGGTGTCTTGGGAGTTGCCATGTAGCAGCAGCATCGCTGGGTGAAGCGGGGGTAGGTGCGAGGGGGTGGGTGGACTCATGCCCACCCATCTGCTAGCGATGGAGACGGCAGTGGCAGGTGGGGTGTGACGCTATCGAGCGGGTACTTGGTCATGAAGTCTTTGATTGTAAGGGAAAGGGATGGGGCAGCCAGGCTTCCCTTCAAACCGGCCATTGCCAGACCTGCTTCCAGGGGCAAAGCCCCCATGGTCACGTGGGGTCTGGGCACCTTCCGGCAGCCAGGATGCCGCTCGCTCGCCTGCGAACGTCGCCCCTGCTGCTTGTGGGGCCCGAACCGACATGCTCGCCCTCCTCTCCCGCTGCAGAGCGGCTGCTGCTCCCTCAGCGCGTGCCCCTCAAGGGCCGGGGCGGCAAGAACAAGATGCGCTTCCAGGACGCCTTCTGCGGGGCATATTTCACCTTCGCCGTCACCCAGGAGGGGCATGTCTATGGCTTCGGTCTCTCCAACTACCACCAGCTGGGTGAGCCATCCCTCGCGGTCCTCGGCAACTGTCAGTAGGCCCGCTTGGCCTGTGGGAGCCGGGCGCTGCCTCTCCCTTGGCTTGGGCCAGCTTCCCTAGCGCTCTTGAAGGTCTTGCCCCCGGTCTGGATAGGGCAGAGGGGAGCCGGGAAGGCCAGTGCACCCCCCACCCTGTGGTACGCCTGACCTGGTTTCGTTGCCTCCGGCAGGGACCCCGGGCACCGACCCCTGCTTCTCCCCGCAGAACCTGACGTCCTTCAGGAACTCGACCAAGTCCTGGGTGGGATTCTCGGGCGGGCAGCACCACACAGTCTGCATGGACTCAGAAGGTGAGCGGCAGCTCGTGTCGCCTCCCCTGCCCCGTTCCCAGCCCCGTGGGGTTGGCGAGGGATGAGAGCAGTCCAGGAGCTGATCTCCTGCCAGCCCGTGCATGCAGTGAGGCTGCCCCAGGGCCATCCGTGGGACCAAACACAGGCAACCTGTTCCCCCGGACCTCAGACGGGCAGCAGGGAGGGTGCAGGGCTTGGCCTCCCTGGCGTGCATGCTGCTGGCTTGCTGCAATTCGGAGCCTGCTGTCAGCTCGCGTGGGGAGGTGCTTTGTCGTTCCCCACTCGCAGCGCACAATGCCTTTCCGGTGTCTCCCCCTTGCCAGGTAGAGCCTACAGCCTGGGCAGGGCAGACTACGGCCGGTTGGGCCTGGGAGAAGGTGCGGAGGAGAAGAGCGATCCCACCCCCATCCCGGGTCTGCCAAGCGTGTCCTCAGTGGCTTGCGGGGCGTCCGTGGGGTATGCAGTCACCAAGGACGGTAAGTGCGTATCGGGGGCTGTGACTGTGCCTGGTGCCACTGCCCCAGCTGCCTGAACTCCCTTCTTGCCTCCGGGGAGTGCAGCGAGGGATGAGTCTCGGCTGTGGTTGGAGAGGTCATCAGGAGGCGCTACTTCACGGTCAGGGCGGCTAGGGTCTGGAACCAGCTTCCAAGTGAGGTGGTGCAGGCTCCCACCCTGGGGGTTTTTAAGAGGA